TTCAAAGGCATTTTGCTTTCAGAGAAAGTCGGGCACAAGGGAGGATGGATGGGGACATCTCTTTAGGGGCCTGTGCATGGCAATTGCCCAGACCTCGGGTATCCATATGGCCTTCCATGGTAACAGGAGCCAAGGATTTCAAGTCAGCCCCTGGCATAGCCCTTGGCAGCAGCCTGGGCCCTGATTATCCAGAGTGGCAAGAAGACTCGGATGCCACCATGGCCCAGAGTGGCAGGAAGACCACACACCTCACGCTGTCCCTCATCTCCTTCACTTCTTCCTTTCTACCTCTTTCCACATCACAAGAACCATTCAGCTACTCGTTCCCTCCCAGTTCTTCACCACACATTTTCTCATCATAATGGCACCCTTGCAGCACCAGGCGGGTACATAGCTGTCTTCCTGCCATGCCGGGCTTTGAGGACCCAGGCTAGCCTGTGGGTGACTGGACCCTGATTGAGTGGAATGGTATCAGGCATGCCAGGGATGTCTTCCCACCAGCCAATGATTACAACTTAAAAAATTGTGTATATATTGTAAGCATTGCAGCCTAGATGGAAAGGGGTCCTGGTGGTCTGGAACCAAGAATACATCAAAGTCACCATAAGCATAGCAACTTACAGCTCTGTTCCAGGGAAAGGTTCTCCCAGTGTAACAGCGCTACTCTAGCAGGGGACAGATCCCCAGCAAAGTTGTTAGAGCTTTGCTCAGGTCCCTCAGAGTGTAAGAACTCTGCACCTAGGAGAAGGAGTCCCCAGTGAAAGCATCACAGTTCTGCTCCTCTCTGCTCAGCACCACTCTGCCTCCAGGTCATGTTGTTCCTTCTCTGCTCCACTGTACTCTGGCTAAAGAAGGTCCTCCCCCAAATCACATTCAAGAGATTCCCTGGGAGGAACGAATCCAAGGGTGTGGCTGCTGCTGCCAGGATGGATAGGAGCAGCTCCCAACTGGACAGGTACAGGACTTTATATAGTTTTTCTTAGGGGCAGAATTATTCCAAGGCGAAGATTTTCTGGGTGGAAATTGGTCAGGTTTCAATCCCTAAGCTTAGACAAGCTCAGAAATTGGCTGGATTTTGTGCTCGGTGTATGGTTAGTTCAGTGCTCAGGACTGGTTGGTTTTGGTCAGGAGATGGTCAGGGGCAGAGTATGTTTGGCTCTGGTTTCAGAGCCAAAGATGTTTCCTGCACTGGCCCTTTTTAACATTTTTGGCTCTGGTTGCAGGGCCTGTGAATTGACTCTGATCTCATGGTCAGGGTGTGTTTCCTGGCTCTGATTTCAGGGTCAGGATGTGTTATTTTGGCTGGCCATTTTACCCTACATATATGAGGACCTGTGTGGACATATACTGAGTGGGGGCCTGGTGAAGGCAAGAAAGAAGTATTGCATCCCCTAGGCCACTAATTGGGGTCTGGGTACACAGTCAAGGTCTTCTGTGAGAGCAGCAAGTCCTCTTAACCACTGGGCCATCTCTGAAGTCCAATACACCAAATTTTAAACACAATTAGTATTCTTCTACTTTGCTCCATAATGGGAATAGATTTCTTCTTGTATTCAGGGATGCCCAAGTTTCATTATTTACAATCCATAAGGTTTCATGTCTATGTTACTCAGGTTCTCAGTCCAACCCACTGCCCTACCCTGTGAGCAGGCAAAGACAGCAACCTGTCACTATAGAGCACTTTATATCTGCTGGAAAGTATTTGAATGGAGTCAGAGGTTAGAGACATCTGGACTCTTTCACTCATCTTGCATACATGTTTAAATTTATCTGTTTTGTTGCATATGGTAATTGTTCATTCTTAATACTAAATGGTGTAGCATTGTATAGCTACACTATGAGTTTTAAAGATTTACTTTTATTTTATGTGTATATATGTTTGCCTGCATGTTAGTCTGAATGGCACATGCAGGCCTGGTGCCCATGGAGGCCAGAAGGGGGTGTTGGTTCCCTTGGAACTGGAATTACAGACAGTTGGGAGCTGCTATGTTGGTTTTGGGAATTGAATCTCTTTCCCTGTTGGCTATGGTTTAGGTTGTTTTCTATTCCTACCTCTTGTATTGAAATGTCTGAGCTTTCCCCCATTTAACGAGAGAGACAGCATATACACAGAGATGAGGAAGATGGCACGTACTAGGCTTGAGCCAGCCCTACAGTACCTCAAGGCTGTGACAAAAAGGACAGTTCCTGTAATCTTCTCAAAACATACCCTGCTGTGCCCAAGAATGCCCCCCAAATGGTTAAATTATAACGGAAAGGACCAAGCAGATGCCATGACTGGCTGCTCAGCCTTCTCTCAGCGATCAGGCCTCAATTTCAGTTTCCTGAGACTGAGCAAGCAGTTTCTGGGAGGGCCACGAACAAAAGACAATCACTGATGCCCCTGCCAGCAGGGACAGGAAGACAGGATCCACCATTCCTGGGCCACTGAGTCAGTCCTCACAGTCAGTACGTGCTAGGCCAGCCAGCCTCCATGGCAGTTTAAGGACAGAGCCTGGGTCACTGAGTCAGTCCCCACAGTCAGTACATGCTAGGCCAGCCAGCCTCCATGGCAGCTCAAGGACAAAGTCTGGGCACCTGTCCAGGCCTGCCCCCAAAATGGATAACTGTAACCCCCCAACTATCCCTAGCCATTTAAAAGCTACTAACCTGATTTCCACTCACATAAACCAATCCCGAGTATGTTCCTTTGTAGTCTATTGACCCCAAGCTCCTCTTGCTTTAAAAACCCTGCCCCAATGCTCCTCAGGGTCTCTCCTGCTCTGCTGCTGCGTCAGATGGATGGAGAGTCCCGAGTTAACTTGAAATAAAAAGACTCTTTGCTTTTGCATCGGATTTGGTCTCTTGATGATCTTTGGGGCACTCTGGGTACAGCAATAACCACAGCCAATTAAAAATGTACTCAGGTAGCTATAGCCTGCTTCACCAATTGTGTTTGAGACGACCAATTGTTCCTAGATTTCCCCTAGCTAGCTTAAAAGGGGGCCTATGTGCTCCTTTTGGGGTCACCATTTGTACAAATGGTAGACACCCACATGCCGGAATAAACGCTCTTTGCTTCTACATACTGATTGGGTCTGGGGTCTTCTTCTGCAATTCTCAGACCCTTGCAGTATATAAAGCTTGTGTGAATTTATGTAAATAAGTTTTTTCAAGAAAATATATCTTCTTTCTCTGGGGCAAATGCTTGGGAGTGTGATTGCCAGATCATAATTAAATATATCAAGGAACTGAGAAATATTTTTCCAAGTTATTGTCCTGTTTTCCATGACCACCAGCAGTGGGTATGAGAGTTTCATCCTCCACAACGTTGCCAGGGCTTGGTGTGTCAAGTCTTTAGTTATGAATTTCTGTGGGAATGCTGAGTGTCCCGTCAGAGTTATCTGTTTCTCTTCCCTAAGCTTTGAGGTTGTTGATGTTGTATGTGTCTCTTAGTGGAACATGTATTCAAACTTCTGGACCATTTTTATTTATTGAATTGTCTATTTCTTAATGGCTATTTTTGAGGCTTTCTGTATTCTGGAAACAAGAAGTCTGCTATCTGATACATGATTTCCAACATTTATTTTCCCAGGTAGGGAAAACATTTTTTTCTGCCATAAAGTTGGGAGAGTGTACATTGTTCACTTCATGGAAGTCCTAATGATCCAGTTCATCATTTAATGAAAGGTAATTTGTTATATCTAAGAAGTTTCTTTCTAATCCATGATCCTGAACATTGAAATGTGTGCTGCTACAAGCCTTATGTTTAGATTGCATTTTAGATCAATCATCTTTTGGATTTATTTCTATTTTTACTGTATATATGCTTGCATGTCTGTGTGTGGGGTGTGTGCATATGAGTGCAGATGTCTATGGAGACCAGAAAAGACTGTCAGTTCCCCTAGATCTGGGGGTATAGGCAATTGTGGGCCACCATGTGGGAGCTGAAAACTGAACTCAGGTCCTCTGCAATAGTAAAATGGGCCCTTAACCTCTGAGATGTCTCTCTAGGCCTATTTAGATCAATTGTTCATTTTGAGTTGACTGTTGTGTCCTATGATATGTGACTTGTCTGTATTTGTATTTGCACATGAGGATGTCTGGTTGTCCTGAGATAAGACAGAAAGACAGGACATTGAAGGGGACAGGAGAGGGGTCAGTGCCCCTCACCCTGTGACCTGGTTTGCATTTTTGTAAGCTGACAGTCAGGAAACCTCAACCAAGCTCATAGAGCTGAAATTGCCTGAAGATAAAATGTAACTATTCCTTAAGATACCTCAAAGGTGTTTTTTTTTTTAATAACAAGAAATAAACTAGAGCCTGAAGTGATTGTTCATTGTTTAAGAGCAATGTATGTCTTCCAGAGGATCCAGGGTCGATTCCCAGCACCTAACTGATGGTTTACCACTGTCTGTAACTCCAGTTCCCAGAGAGATCTCATGAACTCTGGTGCCCTCCCTGGGCATTAGGTACTCATGTGGTATCCAGAGTTACATGTGGAAAAAAATGCAAAAACATAAAAATAAATAAATAAACAAACAAACTATGCTTATTTGGGACCAGATTGCTTGTAGGCTCTCTTATCATGCCTAAATCATATAACCACCTTACAAGTTAATTTGATAAAAGAAATTCTTGAAGAGAAAAAAAAGATGATTTTAAAAGTATTCTTTTACTTAATTTTAAAGCCTGAATTTAAGCTTCATTCAAATTTTAAACCTTCCCAATTATATTCTTTGAACAATGTAACTTTGAAAGTCACAGAATCTCCCTCTCCCACCCTTCCTCCGGTCCGCACATACATGTATGTAATGACACCTAATCTCAAGTCTTTCTCTAGTCCACACTCATGTCTTCATGAGTGAACTTTCTTTATTCTAGGTGAGTCTCTGTCCAAAGGATTAATAAGCTCACTACCTTTGCTTCACTCGGGCTTGTTCTGAAATTTTTTCCTCCAGACTAGTCATAGCTCAAGCTTCACCAAAGTGGAGGACACTGAAGAGACAGGGCACTCCTCAGGTTGTTGGTCACAGTGCTGGGCTCATCTCCTTACCACCACTGAGAGTCCCAGAAAAACACATTGAGAAGCATGTGGTTTGTTCAGTGAAGTGTCTTGGTATCTTTTCCTGGAGGCATCCTTTCACATGCCTGTGACTCCTCCTGTCCTCTTCGTATCCTTTTCTGTCTTGGACCCATTATCAAGCACGCTGTCTTCATGACTCTAGGTTTATAAGGAGTTTTGAAACCGGATGTTCATCCTCCAACTTTGCTCCTTTTCAAGGTTGTTTTCAAGCTTGGGTTCTTCATACCCACTGTGAGTTTCAGAATCAGCCCTTTAGTTTCTTTCTAAAATGTCTGTTAAGGGTGCTGTTGGTATTGTACTGGATGGGTAGGTCAGTTTGAGGAGAATAGACTCCTTAGCAATGCTGTGTCTTCTGTCCCGTGAAGACGATGAATCCATAGATCTTAATTTCTCTCGGCAATGGTTTGTCCCATTCAGTGTCTAGACACTACATAGAAGTGAGCAGACCTTTCCTAATTATTTCATGTTTCCTGATGGTGTTTTAAGTGACAGGTATTTTAAATTAGAGTTTACACATATTTCACTGTAAGTGACTATCTGTGGGTAGATATTAACAGAGGCTGTTGAAGAATCTTTTAGTTTTGGAATGTTAGGTTACTCATTCTATGATGAAAATGTCCTTCATGTTAACATATATTTGCCTGTGTTTCAGTTCCAGTATTTTGAACTTGCAGAGAATTTGGTGAATTACGAGAAAGGAAACAAATGTCCATCAACAAATTTGGTGGAAAACTACTAAGATAAACAAAGGCCAAATGTTTGCTACAAATGAAATCTGCACAATCATAGAAAGTCCTCTATCTCACATCCAGCTCCCTTAAGAAGCTGAGAGATCATGGGTGGAGAGAAAGTGATGCATGTGAATATCTGTGTATGTATCCATAACCCCAGGAATGTGTGCATTGTGAAGAATACTTACAGTTAATCACTTCCATGATATATAATTTTTCCCATCACCAAAAGGACAAGGTTAGTAGCTGTGTGTTTTACCTCTAGTTTTGCTGTCAAGCATGCAGATTTTAACAGCGACTGCTGTGGGACTGTGTACAGATGGAGTATTTTATGTATGATTCTTGCCACATCAGTTATCACCATTATACCTGCTAATCCTGCCTCTGATACCCACTTTCCTGTGCACTTTCTAGTCTCCAAGCATTACTTGTCTTCAGTATAGGACTTTTTTCTCATTTGCTTCTTAATGTATTTATTCATGCATTTGTGTCTAGTACGACTTAGACCCCCATTTTTTATAGGAGTACTCCTTTTCCATCACTATATATTGTGATACCTAAATTATCCAATTCCGTGCCAGTGGAAGGACACCCACTCAAGCTGACCTGCTGCTCATTTGTTTCCTGCCTAGAATTCTGGACCATCTGACCACCCCTGGAAGGAAGTAATGGTGCCCATCTCAGTGTTTTGAAGACCTTGAAGATGAAGGTTTACAAATGACAACTTACAGAGGGTGACGTGCAGAAAGTCTTCAGCAAATGCTAGTTGTCAGTGGCACTTTGAGTCCTCTGTCTGTCAATGTCAGGTTCTTCTGTGAGAAGAACAGCAGGACTACAGAGAGAACACCCAGAAAGTTGACAACAAGCTGAAATGTGCCCATGTTTCCAATATGTATGAGTATTGGTGTGTGTGTGTGTGTGTGTGTGTGTGTGTGTGTGTGTGTGTGTGTGTACATACATGGGTGTGTGTAGGAAGTGTTCATGAGATGAGCTGAGATGAGGAAAAATGTCACTGCACAGCTTGTACTGGACTGAATGTAGACAGGCTACTCCATCCCTATATTCAATACAGTTTATCACATGAGCTTTCTCAGCTGCATTACTCTCTTTTCCATGAGCTTTCTTTCCCCTTATTCTTCCTTCTAGTAGAACCTGAGAGGATTCTGTGGACTCTCCATACAGAAGCAGCCTCTGGAGAAGAACCAAGTTTGGTGTAGAATCTTATCAGCATGTTACCAGAGCGAGAGTGGTAAGATCATGTGGGACACAACAGGTGAGTCATTTCCTATTCTCTTCCGATCCCTCTGACCAGCAGCAGTTCTGTGGAGTCGGGATGCCATGAAGGAAAGCCTCCTGTGGTATCAGGTGGCAGCAAAGAGCAGCACACTTGGGAACAAGGGCATTAATAGACTCCCCAGATGCCTGAACTCGGCATGGGTGCCTCTAAATGACCAGTACTTGAATGGAAGTCCTTCACATCATTTTCCAAAATGGGCCATGAATTACTGTATCACGTTTGCAGGTAGTGCTCATTAAAATGATAGATACACACAAACACAGCTAAATCAAACCCTGGCAAGTGGGGTGGGGCATATCCAGTTCTTTTTGATGGCTCTCCATGTTTAAAAAGTATTGCCAGTGGGTTTGCAATTCTGTGTTCTAGTATATTGTTTCACAGACCGCTTAAATCCATCAACATGCTCCCTTGCTGTTCATTTAAATATCAGTGTTTTAGGTGGTGTGTGAAATATGCATCAGGCCCTTCAATTATGTTGTGTTTATCCTGAAAATTCACACACTGGCCTCTTTTGTGGGAACCAGAATCCTGCACTGAGAAGACAAGCAGGGTCCTGGAGTATCACGTTAGATTATCTTATCACTAAGCAGAGGAAATCAGTAATTGGAGCGACTCCATGTATTACTAGTGCTTTAAAGAACACAAAGGGTATAGAACATGGTTGTGATGGGGACTAGTGTCAGTGCAGTTGTCCCAAATGTTCGGTTTAAGGAGGTAGCATTAGACCTGAGTCCTGAAGGACAAAAAGAAGCAAGGCATGTGCAAACCATGTTGGTGGTGGTGTGCTTGTACTACCCGGAGTACAATGAATCTAAGAGAAGAGGTCAAGGCCAGTGGCCAGAGCCTTGGAGACAATGTGTGCACTGCATGGAGATGAGATAGAAAGGCAGATATATGGTGTTTTCCTCTGTGTATGTCATTTGGATTATAATGTATTGTGGAAGGTTGCTGGGGGTGACCTGATTTGATTCTTTTGTTGGAAGGTATCTTGCCACTGTGTAGAGATGGGCCAAAGAGGGCAGGATGAGGGCGTGTGTGGAGTCCACCATTGAGGGATGTTTCAAAAGAGCAGGGGAGGGGTGGAAGTGGTTAGATGCCATGCTGTAATAGTGCACAGCGTGAGAGCCAGCCCTGCGCAGCCTTTTGTCTGGCCACGTGAACACACAGTGACTCTGTTTACTAACATCAGTTGTTCTGGGTGCTTTTGACACATTCTCAGGAGAGTCTGACACCCAAAATAGTTTTTGTAAAAATTAGCAATTTAATAACATATGTCATCGATGAATTATTTTTAGATGTAAGCTTCTTCTCTAAGTACAACTGTAGCAGCATTTCCAAAGGAATGAGATTCTTTACATTTCTCTAAATATAAAAAGTGAACACAAAATTTAGTCTATTTTTGAAAATGGTTATTGTTCTACAGCCTGTAGTTGTGCTGATAAAGCAAATGAGTAGGTTTTAGGCAAAGTAAAAGTGCAGTCAGTATCTAGATGCTACAGCTATTGCTTGTCCCCATCCTTTCTTCAGAAGACTATCTTTCAAAACACGTATTTTGCCAGGTGGTGGTGGCCCACTCCTTTAATACCAGCACTCACGAGGCAGAAGCGGGTAGATCTCTGTGAGTTCGAGGTCAACCTCTAATTCCAGGACAGCCAGGACTACACAGAGAAACTCTCCCTCGAAACTCCAGCCCCCCTCAAACTGCATATTTCAACATTACTCTGAGACATACACAGGAACCTCTGAGTGGTATTTAAAACAGGTATGATCCCTAAAAGACCCCCAAATCTGTAGGTGAGCATGGTGACAGACTCTTTTCACAGAGTGGGGAGCTAGGCTCAGAACAGAGTCTTCCTCTGTCTCCTCCTCCAAAAAATAGCCTGTCTGGGGTTGCAAATTGGGTCCAGGACATCCTGACTCAGGGAACCAAACTTGCTGAATCCAGGAGGGTCCCACATCTCTCTCACTCTAGAGCAGTGGTTCTCAACCTGTAGCTTGCGACCCCTTCAGCAAACCTCTATCTCCAAAACTATTTCCATTAAGATTCATAAGAGTAACCAAACTCCAGTTATGAAGTAACTACAGAAATGATTTTAGGGTTGTGGGTGACCATAACCTGAGGAACTGTATTAAAGGGTCGCAGCATTAGGAAGGTTGAGAACCATTAGTCTACAGACATCCCAGCACAGAATCCCAGATCTCAAGTAGGTCTGGATTCCTGAATCTTTCTCCCCATATACCTAGTGAGGGGCAACCCAACGTCGGTGCTCCCACACTCCCAGCTTAGTGCGAAAGGAACCCTGTTCTTACCCCATTATTTGGATCTCCACACACTGTGCTGTATTTTCAGATATGCTCCTCTGTCTTCATCGCTCAGCTTAAGGATGTGACTGGTCACTTTGGTCCTTGTTTCCTGTTTTGTGATTCCACTGCAGGGTCTTGGTCTTTGGCTCTGCACATAGGGCCACGGACAAGACACTATTAGTTTCCACTTCCCCGTTGCTTACCTTTGAGGAAGCTGGGGGTCTACGGTAGGCTTGCTGGCAGGAGACTTGCTCTCAGGAGCATGATGTCCTTGCCAGAGGCTGGACTCGAGGATGCTGAAGCTCTTAGATCCATACTGCATCTGACTACCCTGTCACAAGCTCTTCACACATGGGCTGGCAGCACATCCAGGGATATTTTTAACATGGTCCCTAGACATTGTTGTTCCTTTCTTAGCTGTGGCAGGACTTTCCCGGCCATATTATCGATCTCTCTGGTAGCTTATATGTGGGTTTGCTACAGACATGAAAAGAAGCCACAGTTTGGGGGCTGGAGATGTAGCTCAGGTAGTAGTGTGATTGCCTAGAATGCAGAGTGGTGGGATCTTTGATAATCTGGGCATGTTAGCCCTCCTCTGTAATACCAGCACTCAAGAAGTAGAGGCAGGAGGAAAGAAACATCCTAGTCATATTGTTTCTGGGAGTGTGGCTCCCAGCACCCATGTCAGGGAGCTCAGAACTGCCTATAACCCAGCTGCAGCAGGAACCAAGAACTCTGCCAATCATGTGCATATTCCCACAGACAGACAGACAGGCATGCATGCATATATGATTAAAAATAAAATCTAAACAACAAAAAAGAAGAATCAGCTCCAGGTCATTGAAACAACCAGAAAACACAGTGGAATTTAAAATACATGAACATTAAAATGGCTAACATCCTTTAACAGTTAACAGTCTTGTTGGAGAGATGGTACAGTTGTTAAGAGTGCACGCTACTCTTGCCAAGGACCCAAGTTCTATTCCCAGCATCCATGACCAACATCCATGGTGGCCTGGAACTCAGCTCCAGGGAATCCAGTGTCCTCTCCTGACCTCTTAGGCATCTGCATTCATGTGTATATACACACATACACATACACACACACACACATACATACACACACAGGAATATACATGTTTTTAAAAGGTATGTACATTCCTTTCCTTAATAATTGTTTACAAATTAAAATAATTCTAGTGAATGATTAAACAAAAATGATCAAGCACTAACGAAGACAATTTTCCTCAGTGTTGTGTGGCACATGCTTGTACTTCCAGTTCTTTCAACACTGACGTCACAGGATCACTTGTGCCAAGAAGTTTCAGAAGAGCCAGAGTAATATATCGAGGCCCTGGCTCAAAATGAAAACAAGACAAAAGCCAGAAATACCTCAGAAAAATGTTAAATTCTTAGACCAGCAATCTTAGATTACAGGCTCTTGCAAGAGAGGTGGGACGTTTTAGAATAAACTTTTGCAAGGAAAGCAATTAGGAAATGACTGAGTGCTTGGGAATTCAGCAGTGCACATGTAGTAAACGGGAAGAAAAATGTTCTCGGGCCAAGAAGAAAACGCAGAGGAATAGAGAATTAAGAGTGTGTTTACATCAAGTGAATGCTTGAGCTGGGCTGGTGGGGTGAGCTCAGGAGCCTGGCTCGCTGAAGGCTGAGGAGCAGGGTGATGAGCCCCAGACTGGCCTTGGCTACACCATGAGACACAGCACTAAACACAAAAAGTAGAAAGTGGGACTGGTAACATTCCATTCCCTTGTCGAAACCTTTCAGTTTAGTTCTGTGAATGGGAACCCAAATTCTTTTCATCTGATGCGAGGCTCAACCGTGTGCACCACCCCAGCCACGTTCTTTCTTGTCACAGACACATCAAAGATTAGTGTTTCCTACAGTGACTCATTTACCGCAACACAAAGGAAGATGTCAGAAAATAATGACTGTGTCTCTGCTCAGATAGCTCATTGTCAGGGCCATTTCACTGAAGACAGCCCTTGGGTTAGGTGTAGGATTCAGTCCAGTGACGGACAGAGATTTGCCTGTGGTAATAAATGTGCTTTTATTTGTTGTTGGAAATGTTGTATCCAGGAAGGAAAAGTACTTTAAAATGTTTTTTGAGAAAGGTTTCTCTGTGTAGCTTTGGAGCCTATCCTGGAACTTACTCTGTGGCCCAAGCTGGCCTTGACCCACGCTGGGCTCAAACTCACAAAGATCCACCTGCCTCTGCCTCTTGAGTGTGGGGATTAAAGGCATGAGCCACCACCACCTGGTAGTTTAAAATGTAAACTGAGAAAATACTCGTGCTCCGGCTGGTAAAACTAGGGCTGGGGAGATAGCTAAATCAGTAAAGGGCTTGCCTTGTAGGCACGAGGACCCGAGTTCCATCCCCAAATGCATAATTAAGAAAATGAAGCAAAACTAGAGCTGACAAAAAATAACAGGTGACAGCCGCTTGCCTGTGAAGGTGGAGACTGCAGGTCCCTGGTGCTTGCTGGCCCGCCTACCTAGACCACCTGGGTGTTCCAGGCACGCGAGAAAGAAACCTTCTCTAATCAACACCAAAGGGGGTGGTGCCTGAGGTACAACACTGGAGGCTGTCTTCTGTCCCCTGCTACATGCATGTATGCCCCAATACATCTGTACCACACACACACACACACACACACACACACACACACACACACACACAATAAAGGATGTACATTCCTTCCATACTTCAGGAAAGTATCCATTGTGCTCAGTTTCAACTACATGGATAAGTGGAATGGACTCTGATTCTGTACGCATGCATGTGAGTGCTTGTGTTTACACACATGGCTCCACCATCTCTACCTAACGTTGCAACTTTATATTAACCTTAGACCAGGATTGGTTTCCAATCTCAGGTTTAGATTACATATACCTAAGACGTGAATTTTTATATGCCAGGAACGTATGCAGAGGTGAAAAAAACCTGCCCACACTCCAGAGG